TCAAAGTTGAGTTCTTATTTGTTATAAATTTGTCATTGAAGCCTTTATTCCGTCACTATTTTCAAACTATAAAGTTTAAAATTTCAAAAAATATTTATAAAAAGTGTAGAAACATAATTTTGAAAACATTTTCAAATTTTTACAGGTGTTAAAGTTAGACAGTATCAAAGTTGAATTCTTATTTATTATAAATTTGTCATTAGATCCTTTATTCCGTCACTATTTCCAATTTCAAAATTTCAAAAAATATTTATAAAATGCGCTCACCATCAGCGCGACGCCAGGCATCTTCAGCGTCGTGAGCCCGTTATACGTTATGTGTATAAATGCGGAGTAACGATAACGGCGCGCCGCGTAGCGAAGTCATACCACCATTGCAAAGCAGGACGTGCCGTAAATACAGGATAATGCCTGAAGGTTGTAGAATTTCACGTCCTCCTGCCTGCGTCTGCTTAGGACACGGCCTATGACGAGATTGAGAATAGAGTATGAACTAGGTTAACTAAAGGTAGATCCCAGAACGAAGATAAGAGAAGTATATGAGACGAACGCGTACCTGCATATTAAAGATAAGTTCGTGCGATGTCTTGAGGTGGTTCGTACCTATAAATCGTTTAATTTTTGCATTCTTTTATTAAAGAAAGCCAACGTAAATTTAATAATTCATAATTGAACTTAGGCCAAAGTAATACTGCAAGAAAACATCTAAAATTCTATCGCTAAACTATTTGTAAAGTTTCATGCGAATCAAAAAATCAAAACAAATATTTTGGTGACTTAATTCACAAAGTATCTCCAAATTTACCTAGATGTAAATACTAAAAGATATTTCACGAACTCTTATTTAATTAAGAATGAAAGATCCATTTTCTCAAATGTGATAAAAACAGGGGGAAGGAGTTCCCACCATACACCCCTGAAAGAAAGAAGTCCACTGTCTTTATTTTATACCGTAGTTCATAGTTTGTTCCTTCACGGTATTATTTGGCCAGACCTCGTGTGATTCTGAATTGGGGATAACTAACTATCCGTTTAGTTATTTCGTCGCCGTAAGAAGTTAGTTCTGTGCAAACTTGGCTATGCAAACAAGAAACCGTCCAACAAAGACAAAACAACTTTTTTTGCATGTACATTTCTGTTTTCTCAGCAGAGCCAAGTGGCCGAAGGGAATCGAAGTTCTCAGCCACGCCAGCATCAACCGCACCGCTGGGAACAGGGACCGGGAACCGGGACTGGATCCGAATTTAAATCAGGCTAATCGCAAGAAAGGAAGGACATCGCAGTTACCGCCGCCGGCCGGGCACTCGAAGGCGATTGCAAATTTGGGATTCGGAATCGAGGATCGCGGAGGCGGGTTGTGCGGCCCCGATGGATTTTCTGGACCCTAGAGTGATGTTTCGTGACAATATTGGACAAGGGACGTGGGTCGACGGTTTCTCGCACAGAGTGGTCGGTGAAATTGCCCGGAAAAAGATTTATATTATGTATTCGGTTGGGCGTCAAAGAAAAGTTTATGCGTTAAACGCGGCTGTAAAAGCGAGGGGAAAAGGCGTGCAAGATAGATAGACTTTGTGGTAATTCTTTTCGCCATATTTGTATGCTCTTGAAAATACAGAACGGTGCTGAAAAATTCGTAGAATGTTCCTCTTTTTTCCTGATCAGCCACTAAAAAGTATTACGTGAGAAAGTTTCTCTTAAATCATATCTTATAATGATTAAGTTTGAATCTAAGAGGGAAACCCCACTCATGCGACACGCCGCGCGCGACTGATCGCGAGGCATCGCGCGCGGCAATACTTTAGATGTTTTTAAATGACTCAAATTTAGATAGACTGGAATGCGTACCAAGTAACCAGTACATTTTCTTGAATTTTATAGCTTGTCTCTTGTTTTTTCTTTTTAACATGGACCTTCCAGCGAAGTCTTGCATTTAATGTAATACCTAGATATTTTTCCGAGTTAGCATAACGGACCTGAGCATTATTTATGTTAATTGATATTCTTTGACCATTTTTGTTAGTAAAATTAATATTAAGAGATTTAGTTTCGTTTAGTTTAATACGCCATCTTATAGTCCATTTATTTATTTTATTAACTGATGTTTGTAGTTTACTTGCAACCTCTTCATGATCTTTGCCTATCGTTAGAATGGCAGAATCAGCTGCAAATGTAGCTATTGTGTCTTGTTCTAGTTGGGGTATGTCACAAGTGTATAACAGATACAAAATGGGTCCCAGGACGCTTCTCTGTGATACTCCTGCTTTAATTTCTTTCAATTCAGAGTATGCTTCATCTTGTTTTACTCTAAAGAATCTATCTGAAATGTATGAATCCAATAGCTCTGAGTATGGCTGTGGAAGTAGCACATTCAGTTTATATTTTAACTTTATTAAAAGCCTGCGCAGCATCGAGGAAGATGGCTGAACATACTTCTTTGTTTTCTAATGGTTTTTCAATCGCATTTGAGATTCTATGAACCTGATCTATAGTTGAATGGTTTTATCTAAAGCCGAACTGGTAATCTGGAATAAGTTTCCTTTCTTCAATGATAAGTTTCAGTCTTTTTATTAGTATTTTTTCAAATAGTTTCGATATTATAGACAATAGAGATACTAGCCTATATGACAAAACTTCGTTCGGAGGTTTTCCTGGTTTGGGGATCGTAATGACTTCAGCTACTTTTTCGCAATGTAGGGACATACCTTAGTTTGAATGAGACATTAAACAGGGGTGTAAGTTTAATTATGGCTTGTTTTAAGATTTCTCCTGTAATTAAATCAAAGCCAGGAGCTTTCTTAGGATTAATATTTGTTTCTATATCTTCTGCAATTTCCTTTGGAGAGGTTGGTCTGATAATTGAGTCATCTCTCTCTAGAGGAGCCCAGTTCGGCAATTCTTCTCCCTCATTTGATTGGAAGGTATTTTCTAAGTACTAAATAATGAAAAATAAGAATATTTAATTATACATATATGTCAACAGTGTGAAAAGAACATGATATTTCCCCCATACCATCTTAGAATGTGACTTATTTTAAACACATAAAATTATGTAAACAACTTAATCTATATTTTTTCTATGTCTTTGGTTTTTCTACAGATATATACATTTAAAATATAAATTGTCAATCGAAATCAGGATTCCAGCCAAATCGCAAGCTATCTAACGTTCGCCCATAGCAGCAGCTGCCCATTGGTCACCCCGTCCTCGTCATTGTCATGATGAAGACGAGCGTCCGGAAAGTCGAGGCCGTTTCCGCCGCCCCCACGCGACCGTCTCTCGCGTCAGCAACGGCAACGGTGGCGTCGGCAGCGAGAACAGGTTGGCCGGTAAATGAGCAATAATGAAGGTGGCGGTGGTGGCGGACGCCTCGACGTTGGCTGCTCTGCGGTGTGGATGGAGCGGCGCGTGTCTGACGCGTCTCGTGTCTAACAAGCGACCCCTTCTCCCCCGCTGTGCTCTCAATGACCCACCGGCATGTTGGCAGCGGTCGTCAAACTCGGGGGTAAAAATTTTTGCTAAAACAAGACGGTTATTTTTCTAATGAACATTTAAATTATTAAAAAATACTAATTATTTTATATTGTTTATTTTGGGATTATATAAATCCAGATGCTAATCAAAAATACTATATGGTAGTATTAACTATAAAACAACTGTGACATTCTAATCATGATTCTTCGTAGTATTAACAAAAGGAAACCGGACCTCTCACGAAAGCAAAAATGTTTTAAGGATTTTCTAGTATAAAATTTTATTTATATACGTGCCATTGTGAATACTTCGTGATTTTATATTTCTTGACAATATTAAGAGCCTTGAATTTGTGGAACGATAATGCAGCACTCTACAGAAACGTTTAAGAAAAAAAGGTGGGAAAGCATATCATTTAAAAACTACTAAATATTTATTAAAACAAAAAGCAGCAAATTTCCATAGATTTAATACAGAATAACGCGGAAATATTTTAAAAGTTTTCAAAATAAATATTTTTCGAAGGTTTATAAAAAATTCAGGATTTTTCCACTCTAAGTTTTGTTGGTATTTCCTGAAAATTTCACGAAAATCGGATTAAAAATAAAGGCTCAGAATGAATTATAAATTTTCAAGGTGTTCGGTTTGCTCTTAAAAAATAATTTTGAAATCTGTTTATGGTCCTTAGAGCGAGACTCATAAAAAACATCTTGATAGTATTAATTATAAAATTATCTTTGCAATCTATTCAATATTTGAATAAAAGTAAACAAATAATACTTATCTAATAAAATTACATCGTTTACATTTGAAATTTAAATGAATTCTGATTTTTAATATTACAATTTATATTTTTCATAGAGCTTTTAGGCTTGTCAATTTGATCAGTATCGGATATAAACTAAATTTGGCTATTTATCTCAAATGATTTTTTTTCTTGACATAAAATTTTGTCTCGAATGTACGTTTTTAAAAATTATTAACAGTTAATAACGAAAAAGTCAGAATCGCATCAATAAAACAAGAACACTAATTTCTCCACATTTCTTCTTATCCGTTATATCAAAGAATAAAGGCACCAGTGACAAAAAACGAGGATTTAATTTATTCATACATTCATTTTCATTTTAGTATATTGTTAATTATTTTTATTATCATGGTTATTTTTACTTATTATTTATATACGCATTCCTAATCTGTTTTTATTTTATTTTAAACAAGTATTTGATACTTATCAATTCTCAACTTTATTCTATTTGTGTCTTTTTTTAATATCGTACATCAAATACCATATCCCTAACTTCGAATTATATATTTTCCATTTAAAAAGCGCCCAACATTTTGACAACCGCTGAACCCATTGGATGGTGTGATGTGGCGGTGTCGGCACGCGACTAAAGCTACCGCCTGTTCCCCGCCACGCGGCGCACCAGACCACCGCACGCGCCTACCCCTTCCCTTCCGTCGACGACCGTTCAGCTCCCGCATGCCGCTCTACTACTCCAACCACCTTCCATTACAACTTTGGCAACGCGTCCGGTCAGTCGACCGTCGGGACGTCACATAACGCGACGCACGCTTTGACGCTTGTCCAGTGATGACGGCAAAAAATAAGAAGCCTTCAGAACCACGCCGCGCAAACAAGCCTTTGATGGAGAAACGACGCAGAGCCAGAATCAACCAAAGCCTGGCAGCTCTAAAGACTCTTATCCTAGATTCAGCCAAAGCTGACAACACCAAGCACTCCAAACTGGAAAAGGCCGATATCCTAGAGCTCACAGTGAGGCACTTTCAAAGGCATAGAAGCCTAGATGTCAAGGGAGTCAACCAATACAAAGCAGGCTATTCCGATTGCGTTAGAGAGGTCCAGAGGTACTTAGAAACGCCGGATGCGCAAACCATGACTGTTATTGACTCTGGAATACGTCAAAGGCTTCTCAGGCATCTAGATAATTGTGTTGCTGAGGTAGATGTCGATCTTAAGCAGGCTAATGTTCCCACCGCTTTAATAGAAGACAGAACGGAATCCAATCATTTAGTAGAAGTAAACAATAATCGCTCTAATCGTTTATCAGATCAGTCGTCTAGTGAGGATTCTATGCCAGTTAAATCATCTTCTAAGAACTATGACGGGAACTATGTTTTGCTGCTTCCTCAACATTATGTGCAGTTAGCTAGTGCTTTAGGTGTTAATCTTAGGTCGCAAAGTGAAAGTCCGAGTACATCAGGTTGTGAGAACGTTGAAGGACATAAAAAAGTTGACAGTCCGATTGATTTTAGCGGGAAAAATAACGAAAACGGTGATATGTGGAGACCATGGTAAAAATCCTAGTAAAACAGATTTTTTTTAAATAAAAATGAAGTAATCATTTAAAACACTCAAAATTTCTAGTTGCTCAAATTAACCTGGATTTTAAAATTATTCTGATAAAAATATTTTTTAAGCTCAAATAACTGAATGGTAAACTCACTTTGCTCTTAACGCAATTTAATTTGTGCAATATTTTAATTATTTTATTGTAATTAATTAGAAATAGTGAAAATCGCGGCGTATTCAAATAATTCAGATATATTTTTAAACTTAAATATCATCTTTTTGTTTTTAAACAAAAATTTTATAAAACTATTCAGTAATCTGCTAATTATTTGAATACGCCCCTGTTAAATAAAACTTAAATTATTATTGTACAGCTCCATTTTGTGATTTATAAAATTAGATAGAAATGTTTCATTCAACGGATTTTTTAAACTATTTTAATTAAATATATTTTTATGTTGATGAATGAGATGTTTCAAAATTTTGTACATAATTTGTAAATAATGTTTAAGACTGCATAAATTGATACGTTGATTATTTCTAAATTATTTTATGTTAGTTGTATGAAAAATTAAACAGATTTAAACTTTTTCCTGTGTGTTATTTCGTTTCATTTGCCTCTACAAAGGAGTGTTATAAAATAGGTTCGTTAAAAATAGGAAAGTAAAATATATTTTTTTTTTGTTAATAAGGTCAATGGGAAGACGACGTGCCAATAAGAAATTTTAACCGTTATAATTTGCCCACGTTTAGGTTACTTCTTTTTCAATACTTATTGAAGTAATTAAAACCGGGCACAATATGAAATTTATCGAAAAATTCAAAACAATACATATTAAAATCTATTCACAATCACATAACAGACAATAATGACAATAATTATCTTTATCTGAATGTCTTTTAACCTTATGATTTTATTATACGGGTTGTCCCAATAAAAAGTAGCCCGTTTCCATTTGATAAAATTTGATTACGGTGAATTTAAACGAGAAAATTTTTAAAAAACACCCTGTATAGGTAATACATAATTTCTGTCTCACTGAAGCAAAACTTATAGCAAAATAACACATATCAGTACAAACCGCACATTTTTACGGGTGTTCAAAAATTATAAGCTCTGGAAATGGGCTACTTTTCATTGGGACACCCTGTATATTATTTTAACTTTTCCGGTAAATATTTATTTTAAATTTTTCAAAAAGAAAAGTTATTCGCCATAATTTCTTTTGCTTGTTAAATAAATACGATTCAGGTTGAGAAACTTCGATTTTGTTGTACAGGGTGCTCAAAAATAACAATTGTGGATTTTGGAAGCACTTTAATAAAAAAAACTGTATTCGGCTTTTTGATTTCCCCTTACAAGCTTTTGAGCGCCTGTAAAAAAATTTAAATTTTGTAAATTATTTTTTATTATGTACCCTGTACAACTAAATCAAAGTTTCTCAACTTGAATCATATTTATTTAACAAGCAAAATAAATTATTATAAAGAATTCCTTTCTCTTAGAAAAATTTAAAATGAATATTTTATAAGTATAGTTAGGTATATTCGTGAATATAATTAATATGGGTGACACAAAATTGATCGAAAACATTTGATTAAATACATTTAATCGAAAACATTTAATCGAAAACATTTGATCGAATGCATTTGATCCAAAAAAACATTTTATCTAATAACAATTGATCGAAAAGAAAAATGATCGAACAGAAAAATAATCGAAAAGAAAATTGATCGAAAATAGATTTGATAGAAAAAGCAATTGATCGAAATACCAAATATTCATAACATTATAGAATAATAAGAAAAATGAAAATAAAAATTTTCACTAATTTACCTAACCTGTGTAGCCTAGAATCATCGCTGGTTGCTTCGCAAAAACAAAAAATGAAAAAATAAAATAAATTTAAATTAAATAAACGCACCTAACTAACCTAACTTGTGCGAGAGCAATCAGTTAAATTTGAATAGCATATAGGTTAGGTAAAATAGTTTTTTGTTATTTTTATAAATTTTTTTGCTAGGCAAACCGCGACGTTTTCAGACTGGAGCAATTTAACTGATTGCTCTGATACGGGCTAGGTAAGTTAAGTTTTATAAAAATAAAGAAAACCTAACTAATTTACCTAACCTGTGCGGCCTGGGGCAATTTAACTGATTGTTCTGACAGAGCTTAAGTAAGTTAATTAGGTTTTTTAAAAAGTAACTTACCTAAAACTTGACTAACTTACCTAACCTGTGTCAGAGCAATCAGTTTAATTGCTCCAGGCCCTACAGGTTAGGTAAATAGGTTAGGTTTTCTTTATGTTTTCCTTTTTTGTATAAATTTTTTTGCGAAGCCACCTTCGAGGGCTCCAAGCCGCACAAATTAGCTAAATTAGTTAAAGTTTTTGTTTACAGTTTTTCTATTTTTCTATATTTTTTTTTGCAAGGATAACCGCGTAGGATCCAGGCCGCACAGGTTAGGTAAATTACATTTTTTATAATAAAAAAAACTAAACTAACTTACCTAACATACGCGAGAGCAATCAGTTAAATTTAAATAACGCAGGTTAGGTAAATTAGGTAAGTTTTTATTTTTCCCTTTTTTGTAAATTTTTTTTGCGAAGCATCCCTCGAGGGCTTCAGGCACAGGTTAGGTAAAAAGTTAAAATTTTTGTTTGAATTTTTCTTATTTTTCTATATTTTTTTTGCGATGCAAACCGCGACGGCTCCAGGTCTCACAGGTTAGGTAAATTAATTAATTTTCTTATATAAAAAAAAAATAAACTTAAAATAATTTACCTAAAATGGCCCATCGGGAGACAACTCGACCTTATTGAAATACATTAGCCAATTTCCAGCCTTTGAAATTTTTACTTCAAGGCATAAAGCTTGTTTATTTTTAAAAACATTGATGATCAATCTATATAACTATCTGTATCATTGACCCTGTCAAATCATCAGGCCCACAGTGTTGCCATATCATAACCTGTTAGTGGCCTGTCATTGCCTACGGGCAAGCATTTTGTTTGGAACTTGTTTGGAATGCCTAATTTATTTGGAATATTTCATTATTTTTAAATCACTGCTACCTGTTGTTGGTTAGTACAATTACAATAAAATTTGAGTTAGATTTCTATAATAAGTAGCTTGTTGTGCCCTCTATGTGACAAAACTTAAAACAAGCCAAAAGAAGTTGGTTTCGACATACGTATCAATGTTTTAGAACAAATATTTATATGTTTAGAAAGAGCAAGTAATTAGATTGTACTTCTATTCTAATTTCAGTAATTTCACCACTGCCATTTTGTTGAAACCTCGTGTATGATAACCTCTCTGCCGGGTCTTTCGAGAAAATTCTAACGTGATCTAGTTTTGCAACACGTTTTAAATCAGTTTTAAAAACTTGTTTAGTAAAACTACACAAAAATGGTAAGCCATAAAATACCTATAAATTGAAATTTTATGCAAACCTTAAAATATTGATTTACATTTTATCATTAATTTTCAGTCTGGAGCAGCTAAGAAATTGATTCCCCTTTTCGATAGAATTCTAATTAAAAAATTCGAAGCTATTACGAAAACGAAAGGAGGAATTGTACTTCCAGAACAAGCACAAGATAAAGTATTGCAGGGCACAGTGGTTGCAGTAGGCCAGGGTGCAAGATTACAAGTAAGTCAGTTTTATTAGAAATCTCATTTTTCACTTTAAAATTGAATCTAATTTGTTAAATTCTAAATGGTTTTTAGGATGGATCATATGCTGCTCCACAAGTTAAAGTAGGTGATAAAGTACTCCTTCCCGAATATGGTGGAACCAAAGTAAAAGTTGAAGATAGTGCAGAATACCAAATATTCCGAGAATCAGACATTTTAGCCAAAGTAGAATAAACTAGACTTCTATTTTATATTGTAAAATAGGTTGCATTTCCTTGTTAAAATACAGAGTCTGAACTTGTAGGTGTATGTATAAATGATCTGGTTCTTACATAGTTTCCAACATTTGAGGATAATTTTCAACAAATTGTTCATTATATTAATGTTGAAAGGTTTTCCTAGTTGATTGTAGTCAAGTATGTACTGTTTTAATTTTGTTACAAATATATTTCTATAAAAATATTTAATGTTTTTAATTGAGACATCTAGTGTTCCTAATATCAAGTTGATAAAGAATATTGGAAAATAGTTTGTCTCAGATATTGAAAATGTACTGCACAATAGTGTTGCCAGAGTTTAGTAAAAATGTGTTTCAAAACGAATTTTCAGCCTTTGAATAGAGTAAAAAAATTAATAGCTATTTTTAGTTCAAAGCAACAATGTTTATATTAAAAAATATGAATGTTCAATCTATATGATTGTGTATATCATTGACCCTGTCAAATCAACTAGTCTACAGGGTTGCCATATTAGAACCTGTCATTACCCCCATTTTGTTTGGAAAAAATTGTTGTTTTATCCTTGATATTTTGGGAATGTAGTACCATCCCCTAATCTATGACACTACAAGATAACAGAATTTGTATTCTACGTTCTGTATATGAGAGTTTAATCACTTATTTAACTATAACTTTATACCAACAAAACGTACTTTATCAACGCTGTCAATTTTCAACATAACCTAAATTAAAATTGTCAATTCCAAATTGTTTCGTAACAAAATTGTCAACAATACTCTCACCCTTTATTACATAAACGTAAATAAAAATGCCCAAAGCACCGAAAATTCGGATGCATGATGTAAATCCTTTCCTTCAGAGGGTCCGCGATTTTCTTCTAGGTCGAAAACATACCTTAGCACTTAGGTAAGTGAGTGTTTTAGTTTTTCAAGCAGTATTGCACCTATTTTTTATTTTTAGGTTTCAAGATACTATAGCTACTAGATCTCCACCCCCACCTGTACTACCAGACGGCCCCGCACATAAATTAGCATCGAATTATTATTATTCGAGAGATGCAAGACGTGAAGTAAGTCCACCAGAGGTGATAGCACCAAAACCAAAGCAAATTGAAGGTGGCGAAAAATTAGATCCTTGTAAAAGAATTACTCCTGGAAATGTTTATAACTGGGATTAGAACCACAGAATGATTTATATTTTTAGTAGACCCAACATGTAAATAATTAACATCTAAATCAATTTAATATATAAGAATGTATAAATAATAATAAAAAACGTTCTTTATTGAGTTGTAGAAAAGAATGGAAAACAGTCTTTTTTTTAACCAAATATATTTCCCTCTTGGGCTACACAGTGGCACAACTCAAAAAAATTAAGTTTTCAGATAAACCAGTAAAACTTTTATAATTAATGACAAAGAATTTATTATAAACTAAATTGTTTAACTAAAGATTAGGTGGATACTAATGGTTCTCACCAAAGAGTTTGGTAATAATAGAAAAATTTTATCACTATTTCAGCAATTATAAACTTAGACAAAATGTAAATGTACAAATAAATTAGTATGTATATATGACCAGGCAAGTTAGTTATTGTAATGCACAGGGACCCCAACAAAGCTGGCTTATGATCAAACAACTAATAAAACTTGACCACACAGACATGTTATATAAAACAATATTTTAATTTTGCAGACAATCAAAATCTCCATTTGATCTTGTCAATAAATAACAATTCATTTGTATTTATTTTCGAAAACAAAATAAAAAATATAATGTGTAAAATCTCTGAAATCTTACAATGCTGGTGATTTTTAAATAATTACAATAAATCAATTATAATCACCTATGATCTAAATTGTTTAATTTAAGACTGATTAGCATCAATATTTTTAATACCTAGTTTTCATTTATTATATTCCAGAATGTTTTTGCATTGTTATCATTTGGATTTCCCTTTTCAATGATAATGTTCCTATTTAGCACTTTTTAACCCACTTTTATATTGAATTTTGAGATTTTCCCTATTAGTTAATAACAATGGACAATTAGATGCATGGCATATTTTACTTAGTAGTTGTAAAGATAATTTTCATATTTTTTAAATCTTGTTAGCTTTACATTGCTTCATGTAATATTTTAGTAAATATTTAAAACTCTTCACAAATTGAAATATTTTAATTATTAATAAAAGTTCAATCAGTTTCTTTGATACAATTATAAAAGTCAGTCTTTCCTTGGTCGTTTATCGTTTATTACTCTAAATACTATTGATTCATGGAATAATAGCTATGCTAAATATAGAAATACTTTATTAATTATTTTATAACAAAAATATATAATCTCATTTTCGGACTTTTTCCAGTACACTGTGATTAACAACACCTTGAACGCTGGTATACTCTTTACTTTTTCCTGTAAGAGCAATAATCTGCTCAGATATTTCAACTGCGACCCTTATTTGAGCCTCCGTCGTACTCGCTCCTAAATGTGGTGTAGCCACAACTTTCTCATGTTGTATCAATTCTAAAGTTATAGATTTTTTTGGAGGTTCTTCTTCGAAAACGTCTATGGCCGCCCCACCGCATTGTCCTGACTGTAGGGCTTTCAAAAGATCTGCTTCATTAATTATTCCTCCCCGGGCTACGTTGACGATTTTTGCCCCTTTTTTGAGTTTGTTGAATACTGGTTCGCTGATGAGATCTGAAATTTTGATTTTTGATTACTCAAACAGGCATTTTAAAAATATATAATAAAAAAGCTTCTTTTATTTAGAGAAAGGTGTATGTGCTAGGGTCGAACGATGCATATGGCGCTTATAGAGTGGTCATCAGAAGTACGAACTGATGCCCTGCAGGTACTAATTTCAAAAAGGCAATGGATAAACAAAAAATACCGAGCTAATTGAAAAAAATTGGTTTAGAAAGAAGAAAGATGAAATAAGAAACTTAACAGAAAAGGGAAAGGTTGGAAAAAGTGGGTTTTAGATACCGTATCGTCTGACGCTTTAAAAGGCAGAACTAAATAACAAAGACGTTATTTTAATGGGGTTTACAGATATCTTAACCTTCTAAAATCACTTCACCATGTCATTGAAAGATATTTATTCTTGGTACTTGAATATCAGTTTTATATAAATGTATAACGCTTTCCTTTTAATAATTTTATTTAATTCTAAATCTTTATTTTTATGATAAAATATGTCTTACTTCTTGTAGCTGGTATAAGAGGAGTGTGAATAGTAAGGTAATCTACTTGCGGCCAAATTTCCTCGAATTGTAAAGATTCCACGTTAAATTTTCTTGCCTCTTCAGCTGTTACTATAGGATCGTATCCAATTGTCTGAAAACAACAAAACGTTGTGGAATATTTTTTTAATCTGATTTTACTTTACGTAACCTTTAGCTCATCGTTTTATTCAAATTTCAATAGTACAAATAACAGATAATGGTATTGGTAAATTGTTTACTCATTATATATTTATTTAATGAAATTTACCAACGCACTTTGATAAAATTTTATAAACAATTTTAATGTTTTTAACTTTGCTGGAGTCCAAGATAAGATAAATATAATCTAAATTTCTTCAGATTCCTTCATAAAAATAGTTGATGTTAAATTGTTTTAATCTGAAAAGCATGCTACATAAAGAATAAATTAGTGATTACTTTTATAATGATCTTTTAATTACACAATTAAAATAACTTAAATTTTGAATTTGATTAGAACAGACTGCTTCAAGATATACCTACCTAGTTCTATCACATAGATTAAAAAAAAGTCGTTTATATAACATATAATGACCAGAAACTGGTATAAACTACAGGGTACACTAATATTAGTGTGAAAAAACCGAACATTTTATATAAAAAAACTGTTGTTTGGTTCTTTTCACCTTAATATTAGTGTACCCTGTAGTTTTATCTTTTATCCCCTAGTGGATTAAAGAATATGGTGTGCCAGAAGATGAAGTTCTAGACTTTGAAACTGGTCGCAAAAAGAAATGCATTATTGTGAGATATAAAGGACTTTTCTTGCCTACCCGTTATTTAATAATTTACAATGTTTTTAATTTCCACAAAAGACCATCCGCTAAAGAAATAACTTCAGTTATTTTAAAAATTATTTAAAATCAATGGATTACCAAACAATTTTTTCTTAACCGTTTTCAAAATAAATAGCGGAGCATTTAACAGATTGCGTAATTGTAGAGGTTATATTATAATAAATAAAATGCATTTAAAATAAAAAGTATTGAACCCGTGTCGCGAAATTCAAAGTTAAGCGCTTAACGACCTGAGCTATGAAGTCTTATGTTAATTTAATTACGTGACATTAGCATTTTCTACAACCGTTTAAGAGCGTCTGCAACAAAGTATTTCCATCTTTTATAAGACAAGAATGAACGAAAAATTTATGAATTTATCTTGCGCAAATGTGCTAAAAAGTGTCACTTGTTTCCCTAACATTTTGCAATGACTCATTTTATTCTAATCTAAATTATTAAGGTTTATTTGTGTATATGCAAAGAAAACTCACTCTCATTCCCCATGCTTGCATTCTAAGAGCAACTTCCCTTCCAATTCTGCCTAATCCTAAAATCCCCAAAGTCTTTCCATACAGCTCGTGTCCTGAGTAGAGCTTTCTGTCCCACCTTCCTGCTTTCAATGAAGCTGCAGCTGGCACTACGTTTCTGGCTAAGGTTGTGATAAGCGAGCACGTCAATTCGCAGGCACTAATGGCATTGCCTCCGGGAGTGCTGAAATTGTTATGTAGAAATATTTTCTTGGAAATAAATGCAACAAGACTTTTTAATTTATTTTGCACACTTACTTTAATACAAGGATATTTTTGGCAGTTGCGGCGTTAATATCAATGTTATCTACTCCTGCACCTGCTCTTCCAATCACTTTGAGATTTTTGCCAGCTTCGATGACATCTGCTGTGACTTTGGTGTCTGATCGCACAATCAACGCATCATAGTTCTAGGAAAAGAGAATAAATTAGAAAATATTATTGATGTTTTATCAAATTACTGCCACGCAATTTTAGACTTAGAGCTGATTGCTTCGGTTGTTATATATCCGATGGAGACTCTCAATATCCAATATATTTATGGCATCATTTTGTAGTTTTCTCACATTTTTTTTAATTAAAATTATATATTTTTTTCGATTTGTGTTATTTGCTATAGATTTTTTTTTTTTCGTTTCTTATTTAGCGATGTCGCCCTTGTATAGTTGCTCATTGTGCCCTGTACTTAATTCGGCCCTGGCTTTTTAGATTTGATCCGGATCAAGAAAAGTAAATCAAACTTTTTTTTAAAACATATTGGGGTCTATTCTGTAAAAATTCCTTTATATTTAACGGCCTTTAAAAATATTGGCAGCCTTTAAAAGTATATTTGTATTCGTTAATTTACTTATGTCATTATTTAAACAGATTTCTTTAAGATAGTACTTTAATGTATTTTAAAGATCCGTTTAAATAATGACAGAAGTAAAGAAGAAAATATTTTTAAAGGCCGTTAAATATAAAGGAATTGTTACAGAATAGACCCCAATGTATGTTTAATTTTATAAGTTTTTAAGACGCGCTGTTTTTTTATTATTGTAATTAACACATAATATAAAAAAACCTTACCTTAATTTCAGAGATCAACTCGTTCTTTGGCAACTTATATTTACAAGTTACGTTTATTGAGTGTTTTTTCAAAAGATCAACGCAAGCCGCATCTACAGCATCGGCCACTAAAACGTTTTTTATTTCCATAATTTCAATGAATTATAAATAATAAAACGCGATGAATCAAAGACAAATTAAATTTCTTTTCGTTTTAGAAAATTGAATTCGGTTGATTGCACCGCGATTGTCGACAATTTAATTGAATTTATTTGTCGGCCTTTGATCTTAAATATCCCCTACTACTCGTTTAAAGTAGGATAAGAATGATATGTATTTACTTATACCAGTTTTAACTCAAACAGATAGGGGAAACCGGGGTATATCGGAATATTTTTCTGGCCTATGGTTCTCGAAATTTTGAAAATTCGGTAAATTCCATGCATCTGGGAATATAAAAAAGTACCTAAAAATATCTACTTAGAAATGCATGAAATAACTTAATTTTTTATAGTTATGTAATTTTGGAAAAAAACTCAAATTCTGTTCTTAATTTGACAATTTATAGTATAAAAATATGCACCCTCTCTGAAATATGAGCACCCCTCGAATATTTTAAACAAGAAAGGTACCTTGTTTGAAATGCCTTTTAATTTTCTCTTCGACAATATAACGATTTTTAAATTTGGTTCAAGGTGCAATATCATAACTGAGAAAATTAATTTTGAAAATGATATTTCCTCCATCACAAAACTACGTAGATTGAAGCAAAGAATTAATTGTCAAATAAATTGAAAAATACCCTCTAAATATTATGTGACATTATTTTCATTTTACGTAGTTTTGTGATGGACATTATCATAATTTTACAATTTAAAAATTAATGTTTCCAGTTATGATTGCACCAATTTTAAACAACTGAATATTGGTGCGAAGAAAAGGGAATTAAAATTGCTTATATACAAAAAAAGGCTTAGGATGTGAAATCCAGATCTTCAAAACTAAATATAAAATGGGATGTGAGCATGTGATATTATTTAGTACACTTAGCATACTTAATGTCTTATTATTTGATGATGTTTATGTATTTTATTTAATTGTCAGTCATTTCATTCATTAAAGCCTGGCTAAAGGTCTTTTGTGTTTATTACAGAGCAATATAGTGACAGTGTAGTTCAAACTGAGCTCAGATAAAGAAATTACCAAAAACAGTATTACTAGAATGTACTCTCTAAACAGACCATGAATTTACTCAGGGTGAGTACTAGAATGTCACAGAGCTTTATATTCAATGAGAATTGGCCAATACCAGCCAATATAAGAGAAGGCACCTCTCAGTGACATTGTCAATTACATTAAGTTGTCTTGATGAAGCCAAATTTTGTCTTAAATTAATTCTAAATGATTTGCAGTTTTTTTTTTGAATCTGTTTAAAGCAAAATAGAAAACTGATTCACAAGTTTTGATGATGATTAGAATCTAAGTTTGATGAGTGGTGATTGGAAATTGGAAGGGACTGGAATATCAGATGTGGAATTAAAGGAAAATTAAATCTGGTGATGCATAGTTGAATAGTTTCGAATGTTGAAATAAGTTTCAATAAGCACTTTTTATAAAGTTTTTTATTACTTAAAATGCTAATTACACATACTTATAGGTATTAAATTTTATCCTAAACCATGAGCTACTTTTATACCATCTTCTAACTCCTTCCTTTGCCTTGCCAAATCTTTGTAAGCCTGGAATCCCAATTCCAAAGCAGCTTTTTTATTTGAAAACTTGCTAATGTATTCTTCAATTTTATCTAAATCTTCAGCTTTTTCATAATTGACAGCTTGTAGTTTTGAAAATAGATCTAATAATTTAATTGCTTCTTCAATATGAGAAGTTTCAATTAATTCTAATAATAAATTGTCTATATTTTTATGCCACGCCAGAAAAAATGTCAGTGCTCCAAAATGCCTAGTTGATCTCAAATAATCAAACCCATCATGATCATTAATGTGTTGATAAGTAATAGAGACTACACGCTGATAATCAGGATCATTAGGTTCAAATTGTATACAAGCTCTATCAAGTACAAATTCATATTCCTTTCGTTCTAATAAATTATCTAAATACTCCCCATAGAACATTTTAGGTGGTTTCAATGATCTTCCCTTCTTAGGAAAGTAAAGCTGATTCATTCTATTTTTCAGTTCCCATTCTGCTTCTCTTAAAGTTCCATCAATTTCCCGAACTACAATCAATCTTTCAGCATCTTTAATTCCAAAAGTAATATCTGTAAAAACCATTTTTGATTCTTCTAATCCTTGTAAAGCAGGGTCCCTAGCAAATACGTGATTAAGGGGTTTACGTACTGAAACTACTGGAGGTATTTGTAACAACTCTTCACTTTTTTGTATGGCTTCTTCTGTAGCTTGTTTCAACTCTTCATCAGTCATGAACTTATATTCAGGGTTTTCCAATCGCCTCGCACCTAATTTCCTCTTTCTATTAACTTTAGATAAATCGACTCTAGTCAGGTCTTTAAGTAGAGATTGAACTTCTTTATTAAAAAACTTTTGGGCTGGATCATGTTTTTCATCTGAAAATTATAACATAACCTTAAATCAAATTTATAAAATGATGAAAAATTTACCGTATTCGATAGAAGAATAATTTAAAAGGCGAATACAAATCGCGCAAGTTTCTGACTTTGGCCTGGTTTCGGGTTTTAAAAATGTTGTAAATACTTTTCGAGAAATGTGTCGTAAGGCAGCCATTTTCAATGTTTCCAATAACTGTCACTCTGTCAGAACTTAGGCTAGAGATGGGCTGCTGGCTGCTGTCGCGTAACAGTAGGTTCTTTCGTTCGTCCCACTGATGTAGGAATGAACTACACAAACGGACACTAAACCTTTCGTTTGGCTCGGTGTAAAATCAACTAGACCTTCCTGTCGGCGATGTGGTGTCCATTGCTCATTATTTTCTTCACCAGCTATGGACACTGCACCAATAGCGAACGAAAGAACCCCATTATTTAGCTTGAAGCGGCTTTGTTCGCAGAGCCTGTCGCCAAGTACACGACTTGTCGCTATAAATAATCAACAACGTTTGTGTGCGACTGCGATTTGTAATAAAGCCCTGACAAGAGATCACCGCAAACGACTTGTATTGTGTACCAACATGACTATCGTTCACTCAACTACAAATGAAAATGGGACAGAAGTCTGTGACTTGTGAAGATAGTTTTTAGAATAGATATCAGAAATATTGTATTTTTAAAATTATAGTTTTTATAATTATAGTTTTTGTAATTATTTATTTCAACGATCAACCACAAATAAATCGAATCTAACACAAAGCGTTCAAGGTCGCATCGGTGAAACGGATTGTAACAAACTGATGGAAAAAAGACACGGCTCATCTGATTTTAATAAAGCTCTACCACATTAGTAATCTATGGCTCTACCACTAACAATATAACTCTCCACCTTTTGTGTTCATATTCATATGGTGTACACCTGTTCCTGCTGCAAAGAAGCAGTAGTGAACACAAACAGCCATTTTTAAAAACAAGACGCGACAGTCGCCGTGTTTCTTAAATATTTACGAGTACGAGCATCGTTGCGTATAAACTACTTCTTAAAGCCGGCTACTCACTACGTGTTACTTGCTGAGTTACTTGACTTGGACTGAACTTGGCAAGTACTTGTTCGAGTACAAGTAAATCGTCTACATTACGCGCGCCTTCTAAAGTAGTAGTAGTAACTTTACTCGGATCCTTTGACTTCGGTCCATTTACCGACAACCGACGGGAAGTACAAGTAACTTGCTGAGTCTATACAAGTCTCCATACACATTACATGGTACTTGCAAAGTAACTCGTAGTGAGTAGCCGGCTTAAGGACCTATTTAATAGTTGTTACTTAAAAAAAAAGGCAGTAACTGCTACTTAAAGCGGTATTGCCCATCACTATTTTTTTCAATGCTGTCATCTGTCACTGTCAGTCGTGTTAATGTTTTAATTTAACATAACCACAGATATTTACCCTATTCGTTCCTATTCCTTTTAAAAATAATAAACTAAAATGTCCTTATACGATGATTATGACGTGAAATCTTCAGCTGCTGATAAAGTACAAGGCTGGTCGTCTAGCATAAAACTGCTCCAATCTCAGCTACAATTGAAGAAAGCTACTGTAGCACCTCCGAAACGGGATCAACTCAGAAAAGCGGCCAGTTTGGCTCCTGTGATAGATCTAAAATCTAAACGAGACGAAGACTACTTACCCTTTGCTAAGACAAAAAACGATTCGAGACTTCCTATTATAAGTTCAGCTTATAGCACTGAACACGATTGGAATGTTATAGATGAATATGATCCTCTTTGGCCAAATGAGTATGAAAAGGTGGTGAAAGGGTTGAGAGAACATCATAGAGATCGTGATAGAGAAACGCGAGATATTCGTGAACCTCGTGATAGGGATAGAAATGATAAGGAGGAAAAGAGAAGGGAGAAAAAGAGAAAAAGCAGGTTTAGTGATCCTGAGGAAAGTATGTCTCCACCTTCTGTTCCACAGATGAGTCAGCCTCCTGTAGCGAGTGGATTTGCAGGTAAATAGATTTATAAAAATTAATTTTAAAAAGTTAAAACAATACATGGTTATGTATCTAAATTACCATGTGTTCAAATCATTAATAGGTAGGTGGGCAGCAGAAGATGATGAAGAACCAGTCCAAAAAACAGTCCGTCCTTCTGGAGGAGCAGCTATTGCCCCTCCTCCAAGTCTTCAAGAACCATCTGAATCTATTCCAATATTGCCAAACAAACCACAACCTGCCAATTCATATGGTGGATCAGTAGCAGCTAAAATTATGGCTAGATATGGATTCAAAGAAGGTCAAGGTTTGGGTAGACTGGAACAAGGCATGTCCAGTGCTTTACAAGTAGAGAAAACTTCAAAAAGAGGTGGTAGGATTATACATGAAAAGGAAATTATGCCACCACCCACTTTGGATTTATTGAATTCTTCACTGCCAACTATTACAGAAATTATGAAAAATCCCAGCAAGGTACTTAATTATCACAATAATTATATTTTATTCCTTCAATAATAGTCAGTAAAAAATGTCAGGAATGTGTAACAGACTTCCATATAAATTAAGCAAATCAAATGTTAAAAACACATAATTTTTGCTTTACACAATAAAATATATAGGCCAAACTCTCAAATTCACATTCCTGACTTTCTTTTACCACCAGATTTTGTATTAAAAGCACATAACCATATTTTAATTCATAATTTGTAGGTCGTGCTCCTGAAAAATATGGTGGGACCAGGTGAAGTAGATGATGACTTAGAACCTGAAGTAAAAGATGAATGCAACACTAAGTACGGCCCTGTGGCTAGTGTAATTATTCATGAAATCCCACATGAAGATTCAGAAGAGGCTGTGAGAATATTCGTCGAATTTTTGAGAATAGAGAGCGCAATAAAGGCCGTCGTCGATTTGAACGGAAGATTTTTTGGCGGTAGACAAGTCAAAGCGTCGTTTTATGATACTGAAAAGTTTGATAATTTGCAGTTGATGGATTAATTTATTAATATATATTAGATAAAAATGTTTTTATTCTTTTCCTTCTTGATGTGCTTTAAATTGATTGAATTATTTCATTTTTCCTGTTGAAAATATGTTTTAAATTTGGGAAAATAGAACAAGTTTTTAACTTTGTATACATTTTTATTTATGGAAATAAAATGAAACAAAATTAGTTTTATTTCAACAAAAATAATATAATGGTAACAATTTCATAAAATTCGGGCCATATAAGCTGAAAAATTACTGAAAAAAATTATACCAAATAGTGAAATTTGTAAAAAATATATAAATATTTAAAAGTAGGTACGTTTTTGAGTTATTTAAATGGTTTTCTCATTCTAGGTATTCACAACGAAAACAGTCAAAAATATTTGTTCTAGGTGGAATTAACACTTTAATAAGTAAAAAAATTGAACCTTAAAAACAAACAATCTAAGCATTATTTTTCTTTGTTTAGTGCTTGTATAAATTCTTCTAGTTTTTCTTGGATTTGTCGTACTCTCTCTAAAAAATAGAAACAATTTATAATATAGGATTTTATATAAATATATTTTAATACCATTAGTGCTTATTGCTGGATATAAACAAGTTTTAAATAAAAGTGATAGGGATTTGAAAAGGACAATTTAAAAATATTTTTGGATATGCTCTCAAATAACACATAAACGATTTACAGTTGCTATAAATTACAACTTAATAAAAAGATCATCAGAATTTAGGTAGGTTGGCAAGGATTTCAAAATTGTTTAAATTACAGACTAAAAGGTACTAATCTAACAGTGATGATAGAACTTGTTTATTTTATACTGAAGAATTTAAACTCATGATGTTTTACTACCTTCTTAAATTTGAAAAATCATTACATAAAACAAACACTACTTAATCTACAGGTACTTCTCCATCGTTTAAGCAGAACTAAGGGTGATTCAGTTTTTTTATTTCACTTAGAAGTAAGAAATTAAGCAACCTAATTGATCAACTAAGGTTCTACTTATAAATAATAACCCTTGTACAATAGAGGTCTTGGATATTCTAGGAACTAAAACACTCCCAGAGAAGAATGCTTTGATGATCTAACTTTTATTTCAAACTTGTTTGCGTGCCTATAACAAATTTAAAATATCAAGCAATTACCCTCTATGAATTGATCAAATTATAATACTTACTCAATTCTTCTGCTAGTGTCACTCTCCTTCCTGTAAGTAACTGTATTTTCTTTTCATTATCTTGACTATAATCTTCCAATACCTCTTTAATTTCTTTATCTAATCTTCTAGCTGCAAATCAAAAAGTGTATGCGATAAAGATCCAATTTAAAAAATAATATCCAAACGTTTTACCTTCTCTGTTTGTAATCTGCTGCCGAAGAGCATTAGCTGTGACCTTCATCATTTGTTGTATTCTATGAAACAAGACCACATCGGAACAATCTACGTCGCTGGCTTGTTGGTGGTAGAGGAAAAATGCTTTTCTGCAGTCATAAGTCTTTGTTAGTGATTTATTTAGGAAATGTCTTCTATATACGGCGTCCCATACTTCTCTTATAGATTCGTTATCAGTTTCTACGTTTGAACGTTGCAGGTTGTTTCTTATAGTTGTTAGCTCGTCGTAGCTTAAGATAGGCGGATGTTTCTATAAAAAAATAGTAATACAGAATCTTTTAACACCTCATAACTTTAAAAGCATAGTTTACAAAACATTTTAAATATTACCAACATGTAAATGTTTAAATATAGAAACATCATGAATGTCTAATAAAATTGGGCGATATTTCATGTTATTTAATCATTATTTTAATTTTGGTAAAATGACATTTCTAACAATTTCATGAAATATTAATACTTGAGAAAACAAACAAAAAATATGTTCCTCATTATTTCACTAAAGCAGAGATATTCAACTTCTGTTTGAATTATTGTTTTTGAAACAAGAAAAAAATTTTCTCTAAAAGATAAAAATTTAAAAGTTTTTCTTTTCTCAGTATATCCGAAAATATTTAAATTAAAAAAAAAAATGGTTACTTACGTCATTAGAATATAAAATATTATCTATTTCATTCTTAATACTCCTTCTTTTAGCATGTGCATCGCTCTGATACTGCCAATATAACCATCGTTCCTTTCTTGATGGTCCTAATAGTTGTTTCAGTATAGATTCACTTTCTCTCAGCTTTTCTCTAATACCGGTTTCTAAAAATTTTACTGCTTGGTCCCAGTCTCTCTTGTCACCTATGGTTCTGTCTTCTAGAGTATTGAGTTGTATTACCTATAAACATTTTACAATAATTTCAATCTATGTATGTTTGCCCCCATTTTAAACACAAGTTATTGCTCAAATTTAACTACACAGTCAAATATAATATGAATCACATAAGATATAGAAAAGAATAGTACCATCTTTCATCTCTCTGCCTCTCTCATTGCAACTAAGTAATTTATACAGTTACAAGATCTAGCCAATCAAATATAAAATGCAAACATTGGTATAGCTGTCATTGCAAAGTTTATAAACAGCCTTGAAGCAGAAGCATCACCAGCATTATTGGTTCTTTGATAATACAATACACAATATTTCTTCAGAATTTGACATTTCACATATTAAGTATCATGTATTACAACATCTCAAATTAAAAAAAAAATTAAAGTTGTAAATGTGCAAAGTTCTACTGTACAGTGAATAAAATATATTGTTTTTAAACTAGCATGTTTCTATCGCCGAATATAAGAAAAATATTCATTCTACAACTTCTTCAAATATAAATATGATTCATCCTAGTTTTCAAATCTTTACAATTTGCCTCGTAATGTATATAAAATAAAACGAACGTACCCTAAGCATTTCTGGAGCCTTGTTTTCCCACGAATGCCGTTTCATAGCTTCATTTACTACCGCTTCTTTGAGTTGATCGAAAAGGTCGTCGTGGAACGGAGCTTCAGCGGCCTTTGCCATGAAACTTTCGAATTCTGCCTTAAGACTTTCCCAGCCCGATTGAACTGATTGCAAAGGAAGAGCCGTATCTGCCCATTGTCTGAGTTTTATGTCAACAGCAGTGTTAAACGTCTCTTAAAAAATTATTATCAATTAGGTTTAATGTTTAATTAAAGCTGTACAATCTTTATAAAATGAACTCCCAATAACTTAAGATCAGGGGCGGATCCAGACCAGATATTTTTATAGTTATAAGTTCTGTCAGTTTTTGTTTACTCATTATTTCAATAGAACAAAAAAAGATTGTGTGGAGAGAGTGTAATCTTTTACTTCAGTAGATGATGCTTTATCCATTAGACCACATTTGCTTACTGCTTGTATTTGCAAGATGGTATTTATTCTATAAATAACATATCCTGGCATATTTTAAAAAATATGTTTATGGATCACTTCAAATATTGTGAAGGCCACTGGAACGACGCGAGATCAAAAATTAAATATTTCTTTGATTTGAAAAACACCTAATAAAATTTAGAAATATATCAGCAGAATACTTAGAAAAATAAATATGTATAATGAAATCTTTCTAGCTCTAGTTTTTTTAAATATATTTTTAATTTTATACAGAAACGGGACACATAAAAAGTAAGAGATTTAATTCTTTAAACTTTATACTTTAACCTTTATTTTAATATTTACAGAATTTAAACATAATTGGAAATTGCTTCTTATAACTAAAATACACTGAAACTATGGCTTTAATCAAAAAATCTAATATAAATGTTGTAAATATTCACCTGAAGATCCAGTCTGGGCAGCAGGAATATAAATATTCTCAAATACATGAGAAGAAACTTTTTCCCAAATATTTGTCAACAAAGTTTCTTCCCATTGTCTAGGACTAACTTGGGACAAATTAACAATTTCATCCAAAATTTCAGTTCTAGCCCTTTCGAAAAGTTCGTCCCTGTCCTGTTCGCGCAGCCTAAAATTTTAAAATAATTCGAAAATTGTTACAAATTTTCTTGCTTTTTTTTCCTACCTAGGGAAATTATTCTTCCATTCCGTTTCCAAGTTGAACCTCCTTGCTTTGAAAGCATCAGCTTGCTGTTCAACAGTTTCTTTTACCATTTTCCAGAAACAATCTGCCACTGCAAGACTCAAATTTCGAGTGGTTACTTGCGTTGATTTTACCACACCATCTCTACAAATATTTTTATTTTTAAAATTAAATATATCAAAAAAACTATCTTCACTCTTAAGTTCAGCATTAGGAAGCATTTAATTATAGCTATATTTACTTACTTGAATAATCTGGATCCCCTGAAGAAATTTTCTTCATAATCTTTGATGGTTTGAATGGGATCATCCTTTCTACCCCTTCCAGTAACAACTGCAAAATATCCCAAAGCCTTCATTGGGAATAATTTACCAGACAAAATTTTTCTAATCTAAAACATGGTTATTATGTTCTTAAAAAGTATGCAATAATTTGAGAATTATTAAAAACTTATTACAAGAATTTAATCTTACTCTATTAGGATCTGCTAAATTTTCTTCAGCCATATCTACTTTAGTTAATACAAATATTGTCCTTTTTCCTTGGGGATCACAGCTAGCTACTAGGTCTGTTACATTACTTCTTTCTGCATCTACAGATCCGTCCTAAAAAATATTATTGTAATCTCAGTAAAATATATTTGTTAAAAAGTATGCAGTACCTGTATACACAAAATTATGGCATTTGGGTTATTCATATAACTCTGGGTCATCAGTTTGATACTTTCTCTTGTGTCTCCAGCCATATCTGTGGTTTGTGTCTGTAAATAAGATATAAATATATGATTTATAAACTCAAATAGATTTTTGTACTTACTGAAATGATTCCTGGTAAATCTACCAGCACCATTCTTTGTATACCAGGACCTAAAAATTAAAACCATTCACAAAATAATAAATTATTAAATACATAAATAAATAATACCTTTGACTGTCATAGAAATCACTTCTGATGACACTGTTTTTCCACCTTTCACACTATTTCTCATCCTTAGTTCCACTTCTCTTCTTAAATCAGCTAAATCAGACTCTTTGGTGAGATCAAACTCTCTGGATGAATCTCTAAATTGTGCTATGTGATATGGACCTTCTGACAGCGTCACTTTCACTGGAGCCCTGTTAAAAAACATCTTTTAGCCTAATTTATCTAAGATCAGAAGTAAAAATTAATTTTTTATAAATATTTTATTATTTGCATAAAATAAAATGTACACTGTTATTACCTAGTCATCATCTCACCAGCTCCTCTAGGAAAAATTCTTGCCTGTGCTATCATCTCCAAAACAGAAGTTTTCCCACTACTTTGATCTCCCACAACAACGACACGAGGAAGTTGATCCTGAGTATTATAGCCAGTATCAAAGTCTGCCAATTCATCAAGCACCTCACTGTACATATCTATAAGACTACGTTTAATCTTTCTAATGTTAGGTTTTTTTCCTTGTTTTAAAAGCAAATTTTGCTTCCTCAATTCTTTATTCTCCTTCTCTAGCCTTTCCAGTTCTCTTTGGTATTTAATTTGAGTTTGCATCATTTCTTCTTGGATAGTATTAAGTCTCTCTTGTGCTTCCCTTCTAGCCTTTTCATCACTACTAAAAGGATTTGCAGCATGCACTATACTCTTCTTCATAACCTCATTTTTTGCTTCTGAAATAAATCACAATTGGGTCACTAACTGAATAAACTGAAGAGAGAGAATGAAAGCATACCTGAGTACAGTCTGTATAAAAACTGGGAAACAGCACTGAACATACCTAAAGAACAGAAAAATAATAGCAACATAAAAAAATGATAAAAGATTGTACTCAGATTAGAATAAGGTGGTTAAACTCTACCTTCTTTTGGTGCAGAAGAAACTTCTTGGGCTTCAGTTGCAGCAATGGCATCATCTAGTCTCTGATCAAACCATGATTTTAATTCATTGTATTTTGCTCCTGTAAGTGCTTTGAGTTTGGGATCTACAATAATCAATTTATAAAACCAACACTTGGTAATTTAGCTAACTTAAACTTACCCAATTCAATGTTATTTTTCACATTATCTTTAAATTCTACCAAGTTACTTCTCCATTGCTGCCATTTTTCATTATTGGGCAAAACTTCATCTAACCATTTTAAATCAGGCAACCCATCTTTCCAATCATTATATTTCTAAAAACATTGCAATTATAGAAAATGTATTAACTAGTTAGTAATAAAAATGTTACCGTATTCAATGCACTTCCACCAGCGACAGCACCGCCAAGTAACAAGTACCTAATTTTTAAGACTCCGCGAATAGCCCTAACTACTAGCATTCCATAGTCTCTCCTTTGGTAATAGTATTGTTGTTTTAAGAGGGGCTTGGATCTGTCGAGGGCTCTGCCACTCCATGTACTACAAATGCCTCTTTGACAACGTCTTTGAGGTCCATATTTTAAAGGTGTATGTGAATATGTACTTATTACAATTCGACTAAAAGAATTTTAACATAACCTATAATAATATTAATATAAGTATTAAGTGATGTTTACCCAAAATGTCCTCTCAATAAATGCTCCATATGAGTGCCTTTTTCCTATTATTTTTGTGTTATTTAGAGCATACTAAACAGATTTTTTAATAAATTAAAATTAGATAACCAATTTTACATCTGTCACATCTATTTTGACTTTGCCGGTAATGAAGAAATTCAAAACCTTCAAAACTTTCAAGTCATTATGATTGTCAATGTCAAATATTATTTTAGGCATTTTTTTACGGTTTAATAAAATAATGTTAAAATAATTTCGTTGTTAAGGTAGTTCAAACTTAAATTAGTAGATAATCCATTAAATGAGAATTTGATCAGCTCAAGATTTACTGTAGTACAAAAATGAAATGCTATTAATTCTCATTAAAATGTAAATTTTGAAAAAAGTATCAGGTGTAATAGGTGTTGCCTGACTATTAGGGAGTTAATTGACATTTCAAATTGTTAGTAAATAAATAACAGATAAAAATAACATAAATAACCTCTGCCGAGTCTGCAGTGATATAACCTCAAAGTTATGGAAGCCTATAATTAATTTCGTTTGTGAATTTTGCTTTTCCTACTAAAATTAGTGGTAGCTTAAGCTTACATTTGTGATCATTACAAAATGAAAAAAAAAATTCAATGTATGTTATACAACGTACTTTTTTCTCAATGTTTAACGTCCTTGGCTTTGTCCTAATAGTCATAGTTCAAGGTTTGTAAACAAATTTATTATGGTAATGTGGTATTATTATTCATCCACAGAATTGTGCGCCTTCCAAACTTGTTATTCATCGCGTAAGTTGAATTTGTAGCGTCTATTAGATAACATCTAATAATCATTGGGTCTAAGTCAAGTTTAAGATGGACAAAGAAAGCATTTTCATTCAACGGTTGATTACTCCGGTGAGCAAAAAAGACCGTTTAGTTTCGTTTTTTAAGAATCAACAGTTCGTGGATTGTACATTTAAATTAGATGGAAGTGAAGTTAAGGCCCATAAGTTAATATTGGCATGCAGCAGTCCTGTGTTTGAAAGAATGTTATATGGTGATATGGCCCAGGATACTATAGAAATTTGTGATATAAATGTACAAGAATTTAATCAAGTGCTAGAACATATTTATACTGAGAATATTGATATTTATTCCATGCTAAATGCTTGGAATTTATTTTATATAGCTAATAAATATTTGCTGGATGAATTGATTCACGAATGCCTCACTTATATCAGAAATAATTTAACTATGAGTTCTGTGGTACTAAGTTACGAATATGCTGAAATGTATGATCTGCTAGATATTAAGCAAAAATGCTTTGATGACATGGTAAATTATATTAATGGAGTATTCTATTGTGATTATCACATTAAACCTTCTACAGTAATTGCTATTTTAGATAAAGTTTCTAGTCTCAGCTTTGATTTATTAGTTAAAATTATTAAATGGGGTGTTATTGAATGTGAAAATCGACAAAAACAAGTTCTACCCAGTAATGTAGTAGAATTATTGAGGGAAGAAAAAATTTTGAAGTATTTTAAAAGAGATTGTTTAGATTTTGGTAATTTCCAACAAGTTGATGAACATTTAGTGAAGGATACTTTAGTACTACTCAGTGATCTCTTAGAGTGGTCAAAAGAACCTTTTGACTTGAGTGTACCCCCAATTATTACCCCAAAATATTGCAGAATGAGAAAAGAATTTAAAATAGCTTTGAGAATCGATCTGCTCCAAAATGAAGAGTTTGCTTCTGGATTTAGTGTAGATAGAAAAATGATTATCTTTGGTATATCAATAAATACACCAATGGAGCCACCTTGTATATCAAAAAAATTATTTTATGAGGGCGCAATATCTGTTAGAATCTGCCAGTGTGATACTCAAAAAGATGTTGTGGAACCAATGAAGTTTAACAAATTAATACCTTACAATTTTTCTGATATTTATTTAAATTTTTATAATTTAGCAGTTCTTGAACCAAATGTTTTGTACAATTTTAGAATCTCTTTTAATAATCCTAATTTTAAAGGAACTACTCCTCTACATTGTTATTATATGAGTAATAAGTTGTTAAGTGAAAATAAAGATAGTGCTATAACTTTTTATGAAATTAATGGTACGATTATTAAAGGGGTTTCCTTTTACCCTGATTAGTTTATTTATTTAAGAAATGTAAGAATATATTCTCTCTACAAAATGTACATATCATACTCACATAAGTGTCAAAAGAATATGATCTAGAAAATGTAAAAAAGTTTTAATGCCACAATAATATAAAAAAAGTAATAAGAAGTTATATATGTTGGTTGTAAACGAATTGAACTTTTAATTACTTTATAATTGCATACCTGTAGAAAAAAAATGGTGTGTCTATGATTAAACTGCCATCAAAAACGCAGGGGCGTGCATATTTTACTAAGATATTTGATGTTTAATTACAAAAAGTTATAGGGTACAAGTAAACGATGTATATTTTTGAAGTCTGAAAACAAAAATCCAAAAGTTTAAAAAAAAATATTTTTATTGCATCCCCTGGAATCTACACTATGTTGTTGATAGCATTTTAACAAAATTCAGTCATAGCCACACAACAATGATAAGAGGTGGATAATTTATAATGAATAACACTGTATCATCACTTTTAGGCATGGTGCAGGTGTTAAAAAAAACAATTATTTACTTGGTTTATTTCAAGGTTTACATCACATGTATTTTACTGTCAAATTTAAAGATTATGAAACCATGAGGTATTAAATATTTGTGTTTTAATTAGTACTAACTATGCATTGTGTTTGTTATTGTAACTATACGTAAAATGTGTGACTGGTTCCTGTTAATAATGATGTAAACAAAATAAATGTGTTTAAATATTCTTTTAAATTCGTCTTTTATTCATGTTTATTTTTCAAAGTAGGTATCCCAGTGGCTTATTTTGATTCAGTGCCGTCCCCGGCTACTTCAACAGGCCTGACGATAGAGAGAGGGACAGGGGGGGGGGCAAAATCCCCGGCAGCTTTAAAAAAAAACAATAATTGGAATATTTAATATTTTGTTCTAAAATGGGACCTGCACTCACATTTTTAAAGAGTTTAATGAGATACACAGGTACTGCCAGACATATTTTCAGGGCCGCCCAGAGCCAGGCTGGGCCCTAGGACAATTCTCTAGATCGGGCCCCGTGACAAAAAAAGCTCTTCAAACAAAAACTTTTCCTCTTCTACTTGAATTGAATTTTCTAAAAAAGCACCTCAAAAGCAAACACTTTCCTCCTCTACTTGAATTGAATTTTCTAAAAAAAAAAAAAGGTCCCCAACCAAAAACTTCCCCCTCTCGTCTCATGCCGAACTTCTCATAGAAAACAACAAAAATCTGGTCGCCGGGGCCCCATTTCAGTCCGGGCCCCGGGAATTAGTCCCGGCTGCCCCCCCTTTAGTCGGCCCTGCAGATTTTACAAGTTTCAACATATCACAGTAAATTATTTTCTTAAATCAATAACAAAAATAAACATTTTGAAATGTTATTAACCCGTTTTGATAAAAAAAATGTTAAAATTACAAGTTTTTTATTAATACAGACCAGGATTTTCATTCTGGCTATTACGTCTGTCGTTTGGACAGTAAAAAGGAAACAAGCAAATCAATTTAAAAAAAATATATACTGGGTGTTGCTACAAATCATTAGCAATTTGGTGGGAGGGGAGAACTCCCCCTTGAGTGTGCCACTATCATCGCTGCAGTTCTGTCGCGTCTGGTAGACTCGTCTAGAAATTTCACGTAGGCGGCAAAAAGTTTCCATCGACTGGCCATAACAAATCATGTGCAGGACCGGACTGGTAAAAAAAAACTCGCATTACAATATCTAAATTTATATAGTAGAATTACGAAAAGGTCTTACCATATTTTGATAATTCTTATACATATAATTTCTCGTAATTTGTAGAATGTATAAAATTATAACAGCTTCCGGTTTACTGCAACAGTATGCGTGTGCATACGGGTTTACTAAAGAAACAAATTCTGCAATCAGTCAAATAAAACACAACTTCTTTCTTAGTACAAATCTTTAATATTAAATATAATTTAAAATAGATACAAAACTAACATAAAGCTAATATTCACAAGCATAGAATTTAAATAGAAAGGATCATGAGGGAAGAAGGAAGAGGAAAACGAATAAGGAAATGACCAAATTTTAAGAGGATGTAGTTATGAAATAAATACATAAATTTTGTACTGATTTAAAACAAACATTATACTAATCAGGAAAAATTAACATACAGTTGGGAGAATGTTCTATAAACCGTTTTTTTTTTTGGTCATTTTTGAAGGTACGCAATGTTTCTTCTAGAACCTCTCAAAGACGAATTCCTGGATTCCTGGAAGACACAAAGTTGAGAAGTTCTTCACTGTCCTCGCATACGAAAGGTTTTACGTGGTGACAAGCAACGTCGTGCCATTTAATGCCGTCATTGTAGAAGTTGTTGAGGATTGATAAGCAAGATTCGTCGTTACCCTGCATTAAAATAAAAACACGTTAAAATGCTTGGATATAAATGTGGCAATTAAGGACCTCGCAGTTTCCGTATGGTAAACGACTAAATGAATGCTAGGTTTCTGGTCAACCTCTATTAATTAAGTTGATATTTATCAGCCAAACTCGACGTCTTGTAAATGTTATTGAATAGATATCATCAATCTTACCTGCGCAGCTTCTCTGTTGTCAGGTTGTGCCTGTCCAAAACCTCCAGTAAAACTCCAGTCTCCGGTGTTTCTTTGAGTGGTTGGTCCGATTTTAGCTCCGGATCCAGACCAAAACCACCCGTTAACGTTTGGAGGTTGGAGATCGGACCTTTCGCAACCTGCGAAGTTGCATTTTCTTCCTGAGGTCCAGATGTAACGAACGTTGCCTAAAAAAAATATGAAATGTATATATAAATGATTAAGACAAAGGGTGTAATACCGGAAGAAGAAAAAAAAAGAAAATAAATGGAAATACGAAGAAAAAATCATTGAAAGTTTTGGAATAAATTGAACTTTTGTCATCACAGAAGAGATAGTTTTTTTAGAAATAAGAAATTGGATAAATAAAAGTTTGCGAATGATTGTTAAAGACTAGAAATGATTTTTTTAATTGTTTTATTTCGAATTCTACTTGATACAGATATAATAGCATCCTTTAATTATTATATACCTATCATTTTGTGTTTTGTAAATTGTTTAATCAGAAGGTAAGTAGGTACCTACTTATTCCTTTTAATGTTAATTCAAACAGCAATAAATAGATAGATAGATACTTAAGTACCCACTTGCTCATGATAATTTTGCTGATTTACATAATCTTAACAAGTGTCATTAAAAAGAGGTAATTGGTTATAAAACAAATTCGAAATAGCCAATTTGGTGAAAATGGAAAATAAACTACAATCCTTAATAACAATTAAAAGTCGAAAAAAATGGTAAAATTCTCAAAAATTAAAAGTCGAAAAAAATTTGGTAAAAATGTCTGATAAAAAAATTAATAAATTTTGAGATAACAAAAAATGTTCTACACATTTCAGTGTTGATGAAATAAATTTTGAGATAACAAAAAATGTTCCTTTTACACATTCCAGTGTAGATGAAAAAAATCTCAAAAATTAAAAGTCAAAAAAAATTTCGTATTTTTCCGAAAACAAACAAAATAAAATGACATTCTACTAATATACAAAAAGTTGTACAGAGGAAAATAAATGAAAATTATAAGACGACTTAAGTTTAGGCGTAGTTTAGTTAGTCGATTCCCTTTTGTATTATACAGGGAGGCCCATTAGTGCGAGGAAGAATATTTCTCTTATTAAAAGAAACATGAGAAAATGTTTTAAATAAGTTACAGCGTTTACTTTTTTGCATATTTCTAAAATACATCGGGACATACGTTCCAATACTAAGTTTTATTTTTAATTTTGCGACGTTATCAATGTATGACAAAATGTCAGAAAATACTAAACAATTTTTCATGACAAATATTAAAAAAAACTTTGTTATTGACAGTTAAATTAAAATATTTGACAAATGCAAAGGATTATCTAAAACGTTTATTTTTATACAAAGGTGCCAACTTGCTAATCTTTAAATATCTAAAACTTTTTTTTTAGGTACCTAGTCTGTTATCTCACTATTTATATAAGTAGTAAAAGGGATACTAATTGACAAATTTTAATTTTAATTAAATTAAAAATAATAGAGAAAAAAGGAACAGGACTTTCAGCCCAGATAGCACAAAGTCGTCTTAAAGACGTCTAGCATAAGACATATAAGACGTCTGGTATTTCCTGAAAGATGTCTGATGCTATAAAAGGGGACGTCTTTAAGACGTCCTATTAATGGTTTATATTGGTCTGTTGAGCTTAAAATAAGCTATAAATAAGACATCTTTAAGACGACTTATTAATAGCTTACAATGGTCTTGTGAATCCTTAAATAAGCCATAAATAAGACGTCTTTTAGACGACTTATTAATAGCTTATAAGTCTTAAATAAGCCATAAATAAGACGTCTTTAAAAAGACTTATTAATAGCTTATATACACACAAGACCATAATAAGTCATTAATAAGACGTCTTATTTATGGCTATCTGGGAGGCCACCCTGTATAAAGTTCAATTTCTCGAAAACTTATTTAGAAAGCCGAAAGTCCTGATTAGACTGGTTAGGTTAGTATTTAGATTAGGTTAAGCAATTAAGTTCTCTGCAGAGAGTGCGAACAAGATAAGACCATCGAGCATATCCTTTACAATTGCTTGACGTTCTCATTTATTAGATTTGTGTTCGGCGATTATCGGCTAACACCGGCCGATATAAGAGAAGCACCTCTGGTCGACGTTGTCAACTGTATTAAATCTGTAGGCTGACTGTTAGGAGGATGCACAATGAGCCTAATGAGGCCTAAGTGCCGTGGGGGTAACCCACTCTCCATACGTTACAGATACATAGAAGCAATTAAGTTAGGTTAGAGATAGAACACGCCGCCACGCCACGAACTACTTAATTATTTTTACCTCTGGCTATCCTTTGCTTGACGAATTCGTTTTCCTGTGGGGTTTCTAGGGAAACGGCGTCCATACAATGCCGCCTGCATATATTCCTGGCATCGAGCCAATCGACTTCTAACCTACTGGTGGGTTGGTGCTCCCAACTGAAGAAGTACGAATGGGTTACTCCTCTGGCATCTCTGTATGTTGCATGACGTACTCCTTAAAATAAAAATATATGGTCAGATATAAAAGGAAAGTAAGTAGTATAGATTGTTTACAAATATTAATAGATAAGAAATTTCAAACTGAGCATCGACACGATTTTCTACTCTGCTTTTTTTTAAATATTTTCGTACCTATACATTTATAATCAACTGTAATTTTTCTTTTAAAGCTACTAATATTTGTAGATATTGCACACTTACTATTCGCACAACTCCTAGGATCAGGAAGAGCTAACCTTCTTTGAGCCATTACTGCTACAGCTCCTACAAGGAGCAACGTTAGCTGGCGCCACATATTTTATACTGAAACAAAAATAAATAAAAATCAGTAAACCAAAATATTGTAATATCTATTTGAATGTCATGGAATTTGTATTATTATGTTTATTAAGCCATGAATCGTTTATTTTGATATCCCCTACCACCCCTAAAAGGGTGTCAGTATATTTAGGGGACACCCTGTAGAGCTGCGTTTTTTTTAAAGCTGGTGTGGTCTAACAAATAATGAGTTAACGCGTCTATCTAGTGCTTGTTACCAAATCTCTGAGTTCTCATTTTATAATCGATTTCGTCGAACCACCGGAGAGACAAGACAAAAGTAAGAATTCCGGTAGAATGACCGTGAAAGCAGTCGATTGACTTGTCCTGTCCTGAGGTCAACGTTTGACCTAGATCTGTTGGACGACATCAACGCCATGGACATTGGCGCACTTATAACATTTTTCTGGGAACGTTCAAGAAGGACCAATATTAGAAGTTATACTTTTGTGGTGTATTAACGAATTAGCTGTTTGGATAGATAAAAAGACTAATGGTAGGTATTAAAATGCAAGAATTATTATCTTGGGGTACGATTCTTTATTATCTTAATGTGAGACTTAAATTCAAACCACTGATTAGTTATTTGTTTGGCAACTGCTTGGTCTCAATCCAACTAAAAGCCATAATTCTTGTACAAGAATTTTTTCCAACAAATTATAAATGATAAATATTTTTTTTATGACGAAATAAGGACATAATCTAAACTTAAATAACTAAATGAAATTCAAAAACACTATGAATAATATTTTGGTTTCGATGAAACCTCACTAAGATTTTTCAAATTTTATTTAAGTAACCGTTACCAAAAAGTAACGTTTGAGAAATCATCTAACTTGATGTGTGTAACATCAGGAGTACCCCAAGGCTCTGTTCTTGGTCCCTTTTTGTTTTCCATATATATTTCAGACCTTTATAAATTATTGGAGCATGTAAATGTACACTCTTTTGCTGACGACACGTAACTATATTATTCCTTTGACCCATGTGAAGTAGATATAGCCTCGCAAAACATGAATTCAGATCTAAATGCAGTATATATATTTTCTATGAATCATAACCTTAAACTAAATGCCAGTAAATGTCATACAATATTATTTTGTCCTAGAAATATAAAACATAATGTGCAACAAAACCTTAAGTTATTCATTCAAAATGAACCTCTAAAATCATGTAAAAGTGCCAAAAGCTTAGGCATTATTTATGACTGCAAACTAAGGTTTCAGGACTGTTTCGCTTCTAGTCAAAAAATCGTATCTGGTTATTCGTCAATTATACAGGAATCGAGGTATTTTGAGTTTCAAATTACGTAAGTTGCTTTGTGAAAGTCTTGTATTGTCCATCCTAAATTATGGACTTTTAATTTACTATCCTTGTTTGTATCAAATAACCAAATACAGACTTCAAAATATTCAAAATTGTTGTTGTCGTTTTCTATTTGGTATCAGAAAGTATGATAGAATATCAAATAAAATTAAAGAACTTAGCTGGCTCAATATAGGAAATTTATTTAAATATCAGATGGCGGCCACGGTATTTCGAATTCTTTCAACCTCAACTCCCATATACTTAAAAAATAAATTGATATATCGGAAAGATCTGCACAGTTTACATTTGAGATATCCACACAACTTAACGATTCCGAATTACCGATTATCATTTTTCGAAAGATCTTTCACATATAACGCCATTTCAATATATAACAGTCTACCTAGGAAATTAGGACATGTTCTCTGACATTTTTAAAACAAAATTATAAAACTTTGCTATTAGTTGAGTGCTAACGTTAATATATTATTAATTTCAAACATTTTTCCTTATTTAATTGTGTTTTAAGTTCCATTGATTTCAGTTTAGATTAAATACAGGGTTAACATCTTTTAATCATAAATTAATTGTATATAAATTTCTTATTTTTTTTATATTGTAAATGATGGATACCTTTTGATTATTTTAAATTTATATTTATGTTGAGGTTAAGTTGAGTAGCGCAAGCTAGACTTCGCCTCATGATGTTTATGTGCATTGTATATTACAAGCCAATAAAGGCATTTTATTGTTATTATTATTATTATTATAATAATATTTAAAAAGAGTTTAAAAATCTCAAAAATAGGAACCCGCCAAAACACTAAAGACGTAATTAAAGAAATAACCTAATTATAGGTGACAAATGACAGGCTAGAAAATGAATTTGAATTGTTAATTTGATTTTGAACTGGGGAATTTTGATAAAATAAATGAAATAGAGAAATGGTAGATACAAAGTCGAAAATAGCCTCAACTGTACAAAGAATATTTTTCTGATACGCCACTGGGGCGAGTCGAACACCTTCCACGATTCGGGCCACTCGAGAAATACCAGACTTCTTAGGTACACACTTGACACGAAATTATAAAGACGCACTACCAGAAATCAAAAGATAAATAACTCAAACACCTGTGTGGTGAAAATAAATTGAGGAATTAATCGATTTAGGGCCATTTTCACAAAGAAAAACTATGTTAACAGAACTTGACAGATTTAGATTTCGGTGTAAGTACATCTGTGATGTACATTAATTCATTGAGGTCGATAATTGTAGAGAAATTGATTGTTTAATTATGTAAATCGGTTATTGGAATTTTAGCTGTTCTTTTTTTTCTACCTCCGGTAGGTACTTAATAAAAAGTTTGAACTGGTTCGCACTGAAAATATATCTACCTATCATTAATCTTTTAAAATTGAATCATTAATAAAAATCAACGTTGCTGCTATTAAGTCTATAGTTTCTTACTTTAAAACTAGGTCACGCTATCGTGATATATAAGAAAAAAATTAATATCAACTTGACAAGCAACTTGCCAAAAAATACCTAAAATTTCTACATTTGTAGATTATATTTTAAAACAATAAACCTATAAAATACAGTCCATTACTCATCGTAACAGCTGCAAGGGCTTTTATTCGTCAGGAGGTAAAATTTACATTTTTGGAATTCAATTTGAATGTCGCTAAATATCGCTAAATACTTAAGAGAAACACGTAAATAGTTAAACTATAACCTTAAACATCTTCACTTTCAACTGCGGTCGTTAATTTGTTGTGTAAGTAGAGAAATTGGAAAACTTTCACAGAACCATTCATGTACCTAAAGTTATCGGTTTGACATTGTTTCTTATTGAAGGCTCGTTTGGTATTTGGCAGTGAAATCTACAACACGCAATTAGTACTTTGAATAATAGTACTACCATGCGTGCGTTCTATTAGTAGGTATATCAATGAATAATGATAAAATATAGGGGACCAAAACTAAAGAAAGCACTATACAATTGATAATTTGGATAAGAAAGTGAAAATTCAGTTTAAATCGTTATGCTAAGTTGGACCATTTTAAACAATTATAATTTAAATCATAGTTTGGTCACTAAACAGATAAATTTTCATTTTAAAATTTGACATTAGATTCTCACAACATCGGCCTTCTCAACCATATCACTTAATTTATTAAAATGTTCGACGTATTCAAATTTCACTTTTAGGAAGGTGTATTTAACCGTTTTTGTCTTAAATTATCGTCCTTCGATAATTGAAAAACGGATATTAACTTTCCATCCAGTTTTGTTTTTAACACTATTATAATTGTAACTTACAGCCAAGAATACAGTAAGTACCTTCAGTATTCTGTAGGTATAATTACTAAAGTTATGATCCATCTTGTAACTAGCCAACAAAAGGCCACCAGATACTTTTTAACACTTATTACATGATTAATAGTTGGGTTAAAAACACCATGTGAAGATATCCAATGCCCGCCATTATCGCGAGAGCTTCTGGTGTGACAACAAAATCTACTTTATTTCGGCAAGATTACACAGTTTATCTCAAAGAAAATATCACAAACTTTTGGCGCTCTGTTATAGTCGTATTTTTATGTATGAGAGAGTATTAAAATAATAAAGCGTTCGTAATCCATAGGCGTATCACTTATTTTAGTAGACAGTTAAAATATTTTTTGAAGTTATTCCTCGAGTATACACTTATATTTTCACCTAATTAACCTGCTTATAACTTCTAAACAGCTGAAGGTAAAAAAGTGCAATTTTTTCTAAAATGTTTTATTTTTTCACAAGGTATGTTGAGAACATTGTGTCAAACGGGTTATGTAGGTATAAGGGTTTAAACTTTGACTTTTGAATAACGTTACGTTCATAAATAATAATTTTAATATAAAAACTACTTCTTACCTACAAATCCAAATGTAATAATTGGCATTATTATTAATTGAAAAAAATCTAAAGAATTTACCAAAAATTCTAAACAAGTATTTAATGTTTAAATTAAATAATTAAAAAGACACTTATGACAATGAAACAAACCTTCATTTTATTAATTTACATTGAACGTGACATTGTAAAATACAATCAACAGTCACATAAATTTTGGTTTATATAGAAAGGATCACTTGGGGGAAAGGCTCAGTCGGGTTCGGACTAAGGTCCAGAACTTTCGCCCCTCGGGCGAAACCCTGGTTTTTTATTGTAAAGTAATGTGTAAAGTTTTTTTGTGTACGATGTGAATTATGGGTAAATATTTTAACTTAATTTTGTTTAATAATAATTGATTAATTGATTTACATATAAATGCCAATTTTACATTTTCGTCCCGAATTATATTTTATGCTTATCTTTATTACTATTAGTTATAGTGCATTATTCCCTAAATGGAATTTTATTCATTTTTTTCTGAAGACTATTTGTCAAGTTTTTTATTTATTGTTAATATACATTTGTTAATGTTTTAATACTTATTATTAATCTCTCCTCCTTTCCCAAACCAGCAAAATACTCCGAGCATTTGAGAAGCCTCGGCGTTTCTATTCCCTTAGGACTAAAAGAGTCTAAAACTAGTTGCCAAGAACCGCTCGACATATGCTATTAAGGGATGTTTTTTTTGTATTTTATTATTTTTTCTTTTTTTTTTTTTTTGCCACTGGCGAATGGAT